CATAGAAACCCTAGAAGAAAGCTAGGCAATACCATTCAGGACATAGGCATGGGCAAGGAGTTCATGTCTAAAACACCAAAAGCAATGACAACAAAAGCCAAAATTGACAAGTAGGATCTAATTAAACTAAAGAGCTTCTGCTTGGCAAAAAAAAACTACCATTAGAGTGAACAGGCAACCTACAGAATGGGAGAAAAGTTTTGTAATCTACTCATCTGACAAAGGGCTAATATCCAGATTCTACAAAGAACTCAAACAAATTTACAAGAAAAAAACAACCCCATCAAAATGTGGGTGAAGGATTTGAACAGACACTTCTCAAAAGAAGACATTTATGCAGCCAACAGGCACATGAAAAAATGGTCATCATCACTACACATCAGAGAAATGCAAATCAAAACCACAATGAGATACCATCTCACACCAGTTAGAATGGCAATCATTAAAAAGTCAGGAAGTAACCGGTGCTGCAGAGGATGTGGAGAAATAGGAACACTTTTACACTGTTGATGGGACCGTAAACTAGTTCAACCATTGTGGAAGACAGTGTGGCGATTCCTCAAGGATCTAGAACTAGAAATACCATTTGACCCAGCCATCGCATTACTGGGTATATACCCAAAGGATTATAAATCATGCTGCTATAAACCCACATGCACATGTATGTTTATTGTGTCACTATTCACAATAGCAAAGACTTGGAACCAGCCCAAATGTCCATCAATGATAGACTGGTTTAAGAAAATGTGACACATATACACCATGGAATACTATGCAGCCATTAAAAGAGATGAGTTCATGTCCTTTGTGGGGACATGGATGAAGCTGGAAACCATCATTCTCAGCAAACTATCGCAAGGACAAAAAACCAAACACCGCATGTTCTCACTCATAGGTGGAATTGAATAATGAGAATACTTGGACACAGGAAAGGGAACATCACACACTGTGGCCTGTCATAGGGTGGGGGCGGGGGGAGGGATAGCATTAGGAGATATACCTAATGTAAATGACGAGTTAATGGGTGCAGCACACCAACATGGCACATGTATACATATGTAACAAACCTGCACATTGTGCACATGTACCCTAGAATTTAAAGTATAATTTTAAAAAATTCCAAAAAGTAAAAATCCATTCCATTAAAAAAAAATACTATATTAGTAAATGTACATGTTTCCTGAGTTCCACAAGCTGTCCTGCCCAATTAAAGCTAAGTTGGGAGCTATGGGAATTCTGATACATAGCTGGACACTCAGAAGTACAGGTTGAAGCAGGGAGATTCCTGTGAGATGGAGCCCTCAACCTGTGAGGGCTCCATCTCACAAGATTTAGCACACTAGATCTTGTGAGATATGATCTTGTGCTATCTCACAAGATCTGACACTATCTAGCCCAACTCAATACTCTCAGAATTGAATTGAATAATAGAATACCCAGTAGGTGTCCACTGAAGAATTGCTTGGTGTGTAGGGAAATAATCCTCGCATATTAGTAGATGTGCAGTGTTCTGTGCTGTGTCAGATGAGCATAGAGGGAAAAAAAGTTTGTATTTTCCTCTAAGTTTCTCTGAAATCCCTTTCAAAACCACAACAGTCTTTTCTTTGCAGAAACATGGAAGCTGATCATAAAATTGGAAAATTGGGGCTCAGTATTGCCAAAACAATCTAGACAGAGCAGAGGAAATTTGGAGAACCACACTTCCTGTTTTCACAAATTACTACAAAGCTATAGTAGTTAATACAAAGTGCTACTGTCATAAGGGTAGACCTATATAAGGTAATATAATAGAATTCGGAGTCCAAAAATTAACCCATGCATTAATGTTCAATTGATCTTAGAAAGGAGTGCCAGGACCATTTAATGGGGAAGGAATAGCCTTTTCAACAAATGGTCCTGGATCAAATGGATATGCACATAAAAAATAATGGAGTTGCACTCATATTTCAAATGTATAGAAATTAACTAAAAGTAGATCAAAGATTTGAATGGGAGAGATAAAAGTATAAAATTTTTAGATAAAAAATGAAAATTTTAATGACATTTGATTAGGCACCTTTTTTCTAAACTCTCTATGTTACTTTCAATTATGCAGTAATCATTTTGTCCTACCATTAAATATTATTTTAAAATATTATTTTAATGACAGTATACTAGTCGTTCCTCTTAATATAACTTATTTAATCATTTCCCTATTATTGGGCATTTATAAATTTTTGAAAATTTTCCTATCATAGTGTTTTGATGAACAATGATACACATCAAACTGTTTGTATTTCCATTTATAAAAATGTATAAAAGATTCCCAAAAGCAAAATAACTTACATTAACTTTTTTTTTAAGGTGGAGGTAGTATGGAAAAAAAAATATTTTTTTTCTGTTTTTTTAAATTATACTTTATGTCACTCATAGGTGGGAATTGAACAATGAGAACACTTGGATACAGGAAGGGGAATACCACACACCGGGGCCTGTTGTGGGGTGGGGATAGGGGGGAGGAATAGCATTAGAAGATATACCTAATGTAAATGATGAGTTAATGGTTGCAGCACACCAACATGACACATGGATACATATGTAACAAACCTTCACGTTGTGCCCATGTACCCTAGGCACCTTTTTAAAGTATGACACAAAGATCAAGCAAGAAATGACAAAATAGATAACTTTGACTTCAAAATTTATTTTGTACATTGAAGGACACTATCATGAAGAGACAATCTACAGAATTAGAGAAAATATTTTCAAACCATCAATATATCTGATTAGAGTCTAGTGAACATAACATATAATGAACACTTAAGATAACAATAAAAAGAGAAAAATAAAAATAATTTGGTCAATTAAAGAACAACCAAATTATTTGAATAGATACTTCTCCAAAGAAGACACATATATATATGACAAATTAACACACAAAAATATGTTCAACATCATTAATCATATAGGGAAATGCAAACCAATAAGATGCTCTTATATCCACTGGGATGGCTAGAAATATTTTAATAAGGAAATAAATGGCATTGGTGATTTGGCAAAATTTGAATCCTCATATATTGAAAGAGGGAATGTAAAATAGTGCAGCCGCTATGGAAAATACTTTCACAGTTTATAAAATAATTCTCTGTAGGATGCCAATGTGACCTATCAATTCTAATCCTAACTCTATAACCATAAGAATTGAAACCATATGTTCAAACAAAATCTTGTACACAAAAAAAATGTCTATCAATGGTTAAACAAAATGTGGTATAGCAAAACAATAATATATTGGGCCATAAAATTAAATTAATTACTGATATGTGCTCCAAAATGGATGAATGTTGAAAAGATGCTCCTTGGAAGAAAAAGGATGTCAAGAGTAGGCAATTTCATGGAGCCAGAAAGTAGATAAATGTTTGCCAATGACTTAGAGATGAAGATTATTGAGAGTATACGTTAATGAACATGGGAGTATGGAAATATTCTCTAATTAGATTGTGGTAATAGTTGCACAACATTGTGAATATACTGAAAACTGCTGAAGTTCACATTTTAAAATAGTAAAATTTATGTTACATATCAATAATAGAAAATAGAAAAATAATATGCTCTAATATATTTCACATTGTACATGCATACCAGTAGGCTGTATGACTGTATTCATTTTATTTTATTTGTATAAACTTATGGGGTACCAGTGTAATAATGTTACATGGATATATTGTATAGTGGTGAAGTCAGGGCTTGTAGTATATCCATCACCAGAATAATGTACATTTTATCCATTAATTAATGTTTCATCTTCCAAATCCCCATCCTTGAGTCTACATTGTGTATTATTCTACACTCTAAGTCCGTGTTTACATGTCGTTTATCTCCTACTTATAAGTGAGAACATGAGGTATCTGTCTTCCTGTGTCTTACTTCCTGGGCCTCTTGAAGACAGCATAGTCTTAGGTCTTGTTTCTTTATTTACCTTGCCACTCTGTGACTTTTAACTGGGGCATTTAGCATATTTACATTCAAAGTTAGTATTGATGTGTGGATTTGATTCTGTCATCATAATATTAGCTGGTTATTTTGCAGACTTATTTATGTTGTTGCTTATAGTGTCACTGGTGTGTTTTTACATCAGTGTCTTTTTTTTAGTGACTGGTAACTGTTTTTCTTTTCCACGTTTAGTGCTTCCTTCAGGAGCTCTTATAAGGCAGGTCTGCTGATAACAAACTCCCTCTGCATTTGCTTGTCTGAAAAGGATTTTATTTCTCCATCGCTTATGAAGCATAGTTTGGATGGATATGAAATTCTGGGTTTGGAATTTTTTTTAAGAATGTTGAATATTGGTCCTCAATCTCTTCTAGTTTGTAGGGTTTCTGCTGAGAGGTCTGCTGTTAGTCTGATGGACTTCTTTTTGTAGGTGACCTGATCTTTCTCTCTAGCTGCCATTAACATTTTTTTTTCTTTTGACCTTGGAGAATTCGATGATTATGTTTCTTGGGGATAATCTCCTTGTAAAGTATCTAACTGGTTCTCTGCATTTCCTGAATTTCAATGGTCACCTTTCTATCTAGGTTGAGGAAGTTCTTATGGATGATATCCTGAAATATGTTTTCCAAGTGATTCCATTCTCACTGTCTCTTTCATTGCATCATAGATTTGGTCTCTTTACATAATCCCATACTTCCCAAAGGTTTTGCTCATTCCTTTGCATTCTATATGTGTATGTTCTTGTTTGCCTGTCTTATTCCAAAAGGATAGGCTTCATGCTCTGAGATTCTTTCTTTCCACTTGGTCTATTCTGCCACTGATACTTATGATTGCATTGTGAAGTTCTCATAGTGTGTTTTTCATCTCTATCAGGACAGTAATGTTATTTCCTATACTGGCTATTTTGTCTGTCAACTTCTGAATTGTTTTATCATGATCTTTAGCTTCCTTGGATTGGGTTTCAGTGTACTCCTGTAGCTCAATGATCTTCATTCCTATTCATATTCTGAATTATATTTTTGTCCTTTCAGCCATCTCAACCTGGTTCAGGACTCTTGCAGGAGAAGTGATGTGGTCATTTGGAGGACAGAAGGTACCCGGGCTTTTTGAGTTGTCAGGATTCTTGGGTTGATTCTTTCTCTTCTTTCTGTGCTTATCTTCCTACAATCTTTGCTGTTGCTTTCTTTATTTTATCCTATCTAATTACTTTGAGGGCTTGATTGTGGTATAAGTTGGATGCAGCTGTTGATTAAAAGAGTCAAACTCCATAAAATATTTGAAGAGATTTGTCCTGAGCCTAATATGAGTGACCATGGCCTGTGATACAGCTCTCAGGAGGTCCTGAGAGCATGTGTCCAAGGTGGTTGGGGTGCAGCTTGGTTTTATACATTTTAGGGAGGCATGAAACATCAGTCAAATACATTTGAGAAATACTTTGGTTTGGTCGAGAAAGGCAGGAAAATTCGAAGAAGGGGCTTCCAGGCTATAGGTAAATTTAAACATTTTCTTGTTTACTATTGGTCGAGTTTGTGTGAAGATCTGGGATTAATAGAAAGGAAATGTTCAGGTTAAGATAAAAGATTATGGAGACCAAGGTTTCTGAAGTCTCATAGTGGCTGCCCTTAGAGACAATAGATGACAAATATTCCCTATTCAGATCTTTAAAAGGTGCTAGAATCTCAGTTAATATCTTCAGGATTGGGAGGGCCTGGAAGAAAAAGATCTAGCTGTATTATTAGAGAGTTTTTGCATATGCAAATTTCCCCCATAAAGGATGACTTTGAAGGGCCATTTCAAAATATGACAAAGAAGCATTTTGGGATAAAATATTGTGATTTTCTTCTTTGTCACATAAGGTTATGCAAGAGTCAGATTGGAAAGTAAGTCACGATATGTAGGGTTAAATAAAACCCATCAGATGATAATTTATAGTTTGTAGGGCATGATTCCTCAGATCCCTTACATAGGAATTTGGATAAGATTAAGAAAAAAATCAGATCTTAGTCCTTACAGCCAACTGGCTTCATTTCTGAAAGATTTTAGGTGGCCAGCGCTTACCTCCCAACTTTTGGACTACATTCTCTAACTGTGGGGAACTTGTATTGGGTCTCAACTTTGTTCCCTGCCTCCTTGAATTTAGGAATTTACTGCATAAGTAGGGTCAAGGTGCTCCTGGACTGCTTTTCACTACACTCCAATGGGTAGTGTCAGCCAAAGCGTTTTATAGTATGTTTACAGCCAGATCCTTCCTCATTCACACATGCCAGCAGCAGCAGTAGCAGCAGCTGCAGCAGTGTGGTAAGTTGGTCCCAGGGTGCCTGCCTCCCTGCAAATATTTACCACAGTGGTAAAGGCAATGCAGGGTGGGAGGGAGGTACAGGCAGCCCCTGATGGTGGCCGTGGTCATGCTGGCAATGTTGTTGGCTCAGATGTTAGCTCATGGGGCACATGGTCATGCTGGAGATGGTGCTGGCTCAAGGGTGGGCTTCTGGCAGGCACAAGTCTGGGTGCCTTCTTAGTGCTCCACAATCAGGAGTGGCTGCTCAGGGCAGGGAAGTATCCACTGTTTTCTGTTGAGTGTTAGTGCAAGAGTAAGGTACTGGCAGAGGTAGGACTGGCTGGCTCTGTGTCTGCCAAGGCTCTATTTACAATGGTGTTTGGTGAGTGGAGGGGGTCATACTGCATTCCTGCACACTGGCAGGGCAAGGAAAGCTGTGCAGAAGCTTCTTAGTTTAAGTGCCATTTGTCTCTTTCTGATTTTGTTGCCCATCCTATTGATTTCTTAATCATTAATCATTTGCCTAAACTAATATCCAGAAGAGGTTTTCCTGGATTCCCTTCTAGTATTTAATAGTTTCATTCATGTCTCATATTAAAGTCTTTTTTTTTTTTTTTGAGACAGAGTCTGTCTGTTGCCCATGCTGGAGTACAGCAAGTTTGGCTCACTACAACCTTGACCTCGTGGGCTTATGTAATCCTCCCACCCCAGCCTCCCAAGTAACTGGGACTACAGGTGTGCACCAACATGCCTGGCTAATGTTTGTATCTTTTTTGTAGAAATGGAGTTTTGCCATGTTGCCCAGGCTGGTCTCAAACTCCTGGACTCAAGCAATCTTCCCGCCTCAGCCTCCCAAAGTGCTAGGATTACAGGCATGAACCACTGCACCCAGTTATATTTAAGTATTTAATCCACCCTGAGTTGATTTTTGTACATAGTGAGAGATTGGACTCCAATTTCATTCATCTAAATATGACAATCTAATTCTTCCACCACCATTGATTGAAAAGAGTGTCATTCTTCAATGTATGTTCTTGTCAACTTTGTCAGAGATCAGTTGGCTGTAGACATGTGGCTTTATTTCTGGGTCCTCTATTCTGATCCATTAACATATGTGTGCATTTTCATACCAGTTTCATGCTGTTTGGTTACTATAGCCTTGTAGTATAATTTGAAGTCAGGTAATGTGATGCCTCCACCTTTGTTCTTTTCACTTCTTAGGATTGCTTTGGCCATTTACACACTTTTCTGGTTTTGTGTGAATTTCACTATTGTTTTACTAATTCTGTGAAAGAATAACATTTCTATTTTGACATGATTGGATTTAATCTCTAGATTGTTTGGGTCAGTATGGTCATTTTAACTATATTAACTTTTCCAATTCATGAGCATGAGATGTTTTTCCATTTGTATTATCTATAATTTATTTTGTCAGTGTTTTGCAGTTTTTCTTTCACCTTCTTGGTTAAATATATTCCTGAGTATTATTGTAGATATTGTGAATGGAATTTCCTTCTTGAGTTGGTTCTCAGCTAAGATTATTGTTGTATAAATAGGATACTGATTTTTATACCTTTCTTTTGTATCCTAAATCTGTACTGAACTCATATGTCAAGTCTAGGAGATTTTTGTTTGAATCTTTAGGATTTTATAGATATATAAGCATAACATCTGCAAATAGCAATAATATTACTTCCTCTTGTCCAACTTAGATGGCTTTTATTTCTTTCTCTTTCCTGAATGCTCTGGCTAGGACTTTTAGTTCTATATTTAGTATGAGTGGTGAAAGTTGCATTCTTGACTTATTTAAGTTCTTAGAGGAAAAGCTTTCAACTTTTCTCTATTGACTATGATGTTGGTTTTGCATTTCTTGTATATGGTCTTTGTCATTTTGAGTTATGTTCTTTTTATAGTTTATTGAGTGTTTTATCATGAAGGGATGCTAAATTTTATGAAAATTTTTCTTTGAGTATATTGAGATGATCATATGATTTTTATTCTCAATTATTTTTATATAATGTATCACATATATTGATGTGTGTATATTGAACCATCCTTTCGTCTATGTTATAAAACCCACTTGATCATTGTGTAGTATCTCTGAGCTGTGCTGTTGGATTTGGTTCACTAGTATTTTGTTGAGGATTTTTGCTTCAGTGTTCATCAGTGTCATTGGTCTGTACTTTTTCTGGTTTCTATTTTCTATGTCCTTGTTTGGTTTTTATATCAGGATGATACTGGCTTCATAGATTGAAGTAAGGGAACTTCTCTCCTCCTCACATTTTTGGAACAATTTCGGGAGTATTGGTATTAATTGTTCTTTGTAGGTTTGGTAGAATTCAGTTGTGAATCTGTATGGGTATGGATTTTTTTGCTTTGGTTTTTTTTTTTTTTTTTTTTTTTTTTAATTACTGTTCCAATCTCCTTCTTCATTGTTGGTCTGTTCTGGATTTCTATTTATTTCTTTTACAGTTTTTGTGAGGTTAGTTGTGTCCCAAAATGTATCTATTGTCTTTGGGTTGTTAAGTTTGTGAGCATTTGTTGTTCAAAATAGTATCTGATGATCATTTTTATGTGTGTGGTATGAATTGTAGTAGTTAATCTAGCTAGTGGTTTATCAGTTATGTTCATCACTTCTTTTTGTTTTGTTTTGTTTATCAAAACAAAAAAGAAACCTTTTTTGTTTTGAAGAACCAGTTTTTTGTTTTATTGATTCCTTTGTATTGGTTTGGTTTTGATGTAGTTTATTTAGTTCTGCCCTGATTTATTTATTTATTTGTTTGTTTGTTTGTTTGTTTGTTTTCTTCTGCTAATTTTGGGTTTGTTCTTGGTTTGGTGGTTCCTTGAGGTGTGACATTAGGTTGTTATTTTTTGATTGCTCTACGTTGTTGATGTAGGCATTTACTGCTATAAACTGTCTTCATAGCACTGGCTTTGCTATATCCCAGAAGTTCTGGTATATATTTCCATTTTTATTCATTTCAAAGATTTTCTTAAATTTCTGTCTTAACTTTATTGACCTAAATATTCAGGAGTGTGTTGTTTAATTCCCGTGCATTTGTATATTTTCAGTGTTTCCTCTTAGTATTTCTGTTTTTTCCATTGTGGTCTGAGGAGATACTTGATATGATTACAGTTTTTAAAAATGTGTTAAGACTTGTTTTGTGGCCTAACATACGACCTGTCTTGGAGAAAGTTCCATGTGCAGTGAGAAGAATGAATGTATATTCTGCAGTTGTTGGGTAGAATGTTGTATAAATGCTTGTTAGGTCCATTTGGTCTAAAATTCAACATAAATCCAAAGTTTCCTTATTGATATTTTTTGTCTCATTGATCGGTCTAGTGCGGTAAGTGGGACACTGAAGTCCCCCATTATTAATGAATTGCTGTATATCTTTTCTTTAGGTCTACTAATATTTATTTATGAATGTGGGAGCTTTGGTGTTGGGTGCATATAAATTTAGAATTGTTATATCCTCTTACTGAATTGATTACTTGGTCATATCTTTTGTAATATGATTGTCTTTTTTTACTGTTTCTGATTTAAAGACTGTTTTATCTGATATAAATATAGTGACTCCTGCTTTCTGTTTCTATTTGCACATAATATTTTTTCATACCTTACTTTCAGTCTAAATGTATCTTTACAGGTAAACTGAGTTTCTTGTAAGCTTGATATGGTTGGATCACGATTTTCTAAATCCATTTTGTTAATCTGTGTCTTTTAAGTGGAGCATTGAATCCATTTATATTTAGGGTTAATAATGATATGTTACATTTAGTTACTGTCATATTGTTAAAAAATAAAAATGTAT